GGAGGAGGTAAGGCTACAAAACTCCCAATTAATCGGCTTTTGGCCATATACCTATGTAATAAAAGTAAATCTTGGGAGAAAAAAAAAACATTCTTATTCCTTAGATAGTTGTTGATTGAGGATTGAGTAGGTTGGAAATGCATTTGCCGGCAACAATATTTTAAACACTTAAGTCTTGCCATACATTTCTATTCCCAAATAACCAACGAAGCAAACTCCAAGCTAACCTGTTAACCACACAACAGTCACAATTTAAAGGTGCTACGATAAAAAAGATCTGACATTGATAGACTAGATACCGAGCTTTCTTTGATCGAGATAACGTTTCATAACAGAGATAGAAAAAACCCACAAACGTACTTTAGATGTATTGATATTCTAACCAGAGATTGGCATCGTTTGAAATAAAGTAGAGCTAACTAATTTCGTGTTCGCAAAAGTTCGCTTTCCGAGGCAAAACTTGAGACTTTTTAACAAAAAACTCCGAGGCTCATTTTCTTCTCTTTTGTCTCTTTAGACACCAACAATACTTGTTTTAGAAATTCCTGCTACAATTTCAAGGCGTCATTCAAAACATGGAACGAAAGCAGGAGCTTTTGCAAGAGGCAGGGAGGTGACCTAGTTTCTATTGAAACCGAAGAAGAGTGGATGTTTATAAAGGAAGAGATTGAAAATTACCGAGAACAGCAGTGGTACATCGGTCTCGTAAGAGAAAGCGGGATTTGGACCTGGGTGAGTGGAAAACTACTCACTATTTGCAAATGGGATGATACCGAGCCAATAGAGAGAGATGGAGCTAAGGCCACGATAGTGAAGAGGGCTCATCTGAACCTTTCTGCAAACGGAATATTTATAAGCCACTTTGGTTTTGCAAATAGTTTTCAATGTATTTGTGAAATTCCCAAAGGTAAGAAAACATCACAGCTGCATGATATACTCTAAGGCGCGTTGAGAGTGTTATCACGTCACGCATAAGATAGTTATGAGCAAGTTACAGTGTTCGCTGTTTGTTCGGGACGCTATCCCAACCCCTTGCATCTATCAATCACTTTTTAACTCTTTCAATCACAGAAAAAAAAAAAAAAATGGAGGGAGTATAAAAATGCTTTGGCATCAAGGAACCTTTTTTCGACATTATATAGCTCAATAGAGACTGGTTTGACGGGTGTTGAGTTGGCATCACTGCACTACACGGCAGCCAACCAGCAGAAACTAATTTTTTTTTTTGTTTTTTTGTTTTTTTTGGTTGAGTCACTGTGACAACTAATCCTACCGCTGATCAGCTAGACCGCCTCGAGTCAAATTTCATATCATTTGTAGTTTTCGTCTGCACTAAACGTTTGAGTAAATAAACAGGTAAACGAAGCGGATCTACGGAAAGAAAAAGAAACAAAAACAAAAACAAAAAAGAAACGAAAGAAAAAGCTGGGGGGAGAGGGGGGAAGTCTGGGCATATTTGCATAACGAATGCGTGCGATGCGTAAGATGACCCAATTTCCTTTTTCTGTTTTTCCCTTCACCGCTACTTTCGTACTGCTCTTCGTTTAACTAATTAAACACCCTGCACAGACTAAGGGCTTTTTTTTCTCTTTGGCGGCTGTTTCAGGGGAAAACTCTTCCCAGGAAAACTACATGGCTTATGTTGGAATACCTTGCACATTGAAACTTGTCAACAAGAGTTGGGTACAGAAATGCAATTTTACTGACTTCGTTTGTAATCTTAATTGTACAATAAAAGATTGTTTCTACAAGCCAAATAATAGCCTAGTACCAGAGCATTGTCGGCGAGGGTGTTCTATGACATACGGACGATTGGTAGATCAATGCACCGAGTTGACGTCCAGAAAAGGTTATTATTTTCAAACGTGCAACGTTACAAACTTTAATCTCAGAAGCGGCATACACGTATTTGCTACCAAACAGACTTGCCATTGTGTGGCAGATCAATGTAGTCACAAATGCAACAAGATACGGTGCACACAAACCTGCAGACAAGGAAAAACCGGTGAGTAACATAGTAAAAGCCAATGGGCAGGCTAATGATTAACTGGTAGTAAATGAAAGCTATAGCTTACAGATTTTTCTCTTTCGTGGATATGTATACCATAGACATGCTTGAAGAATTTACTTAAAAATTCGTTGTAAATTTGTAATGTGTCTCAGACGGTCCTCGGGTTTTGACAGATAGTGTTAATGACTGCTGTTAGAGAAAAATGCAACTAAGAACATCATCGTATTTTGGACTCTACTTGTTCGCAAGATGATACAAAAATTGGGACGATTATTTACTGATTTTAAGTCCATCGATAAAACAATCAATCTATAGCCGACAAGATAGAGAAATGAGGGGAGAATCAGGGCGTTGGCTGGGATTTGTGGATTTAGCTCTGGGTCTAATTAGTTTCCTTTTTTTTAATATTATTGTTATTATTATTTTCGAAGCTATTCAGATCGAAAAAGCCAGTACTCTAGCTGCTCGCCAATACATCAATCTTACTCACAAGTGAAAAAGGCTCCTAAAAGGAGGATTCTTTTTTTTATTATTATTCCTCGCGTGTGGATTTTAAAGTGCGAATCGAAAAGTGGTGCATAATAACCGTTTGAATAAGCGGGTATGACGAAACCGTTTCACATATAAACAGCCTACATGTTTGCCAGAAAGCAAGAGGCACGTTTCACTTATTCAAAGAGTTATACGTACTAGTGGCTAAATGTATTTCGCTTTCCCTTTTGCGTTCATTTTCACTCGGAAAAACCCCAAGCTGCCTGATTTAAACTGAGAACATTAAACTACGCAATAAAAGCCCTTTTATGAAGACGACTCGGAAAAACGCTTCCAAAATTGAAACAAGCACAAGGATTCTCCCTTTCTCAATTTCATCAATTCCTCTTACAATCGCTAAATAAATTTTATTTGAGTGAAATCGTGTGCTGAGTTTAAACTCTGGGTGGACCGCATGAAAATAAGTTAACCAAAGCAGTTCAAAGAATGATATGCCCTACGGATGTCAAATTATGGATGGAGTCATCTATATACTGTACCCTTAGTCTAAACAATCATCAATATAATCTACAGGAAAATCTTTACCATCAAGTCACAGAGTAGCACTTGCAACATCGCCATCGCCATCGCCATCGCCATCGTCGTCAACGGCAGTTAAGCAGCTGGTATGTGCTCTATGCAGTCATTTACTCTTTCTCTACAGGTCACTTTTAAAAGTTTTCTGTGCTGCACAAATTTAACAAACACTTTTGTTTTAATTCTAGGGAAATAAGTATGCTTTAAAATTTGGCAAAATAAATATCACCAGGAGACAATCTATGCTGGTATGTAAATGTTCTAATTTAAAGGCATTCACGTATGATGCGAGTATTAAAAAAAGTAATGGACAAATATGTTATCCTTTAACCTAAACCACAATTTAAGCAGTTTGACACGAGTTGTGTATATGAGTGTGACAAGCACATAGCGTGAAATAAATTTATGCAATTGTAGGAGGCAGTAAATATGTTTAAAGACTTCATTATGAAAATCCAAATCATCACAAAAACTAGTGAAGGCAGGCCCGGTATAAAAGAGGTCAAAGCAGCGAAAGAATCCATCTTTAAAGTGGCAGCAGCAGTTGAGAAATTTGCCCTTGATTATGGAAAGCAACACCTGAGTGACATGAAGCCTTCAGAAAGGTTCATTTATCCCAACATGGGTGAGGTTATAGTCTTTTTCTCGGATTTCTTAGAATCCATTTCAC